GTTATTAAAATGTGGAACCTGATTGAATATGTTTCCCAATCTATGACCTTTCCAGTCGTCCGTAGAGGAAAATTGAATTGACATTTATTTCTCAAATGAAAGCGTGTAAAACTAGTGTTGAATAGAAAACTGTAAAAGAACATAAAAACAACAGCCTGCCTTGTCGCAGGGCCGGGTCGTGTGGCGCTTTGCTCTTCAAGATGATTCCTCGGTGATGTTCGGGTGGCACCACGCCAGTCAGAAGGGAAGCGTTTGCACCCGCTGGGAAGAGAATCCACCTTAAGAACTGGTTTCTCAAAATGAAAGCGCGGCCCCGCCCATGTCAGCGAGGCGAGAGCGCCTGCGTTTTCTTCAGAGGGAAGGGAACCTAAACTTTATTGGATGGCTAACTTCAGCAATCATTTACCTTTGACATCATTTAAAAAAGGTACTTAAATTGTCAAAACTCAGAGAGCCAAGAAACCCTCCAGAGAGCAGGCCCTGGAGGTGGAGGGGAAAGTTGGGCAGCTCGCATGTTGGTCTGGAAGCGAAAGGGAGGCCGGCCAGCGCGTTCCCTGGCTGCCGCGCCGGCCTTTGTTGACACAAGGCCTTGCGAACCTGTGGTTACAAAAATAGCTGCTTTTTAAAAAACCCAGAGACACGGACTCTGCAAGCCTCGGATACTAGATCGATGTGACAGGAACACCTACAGAGCAGTCACACTGGGAACGGAAAGGAATCGAAAATATCTTCTTGGGGAGGAGGTTACTGCACCCCAAAAGTTGTCAAGCAGCATGTCATTCAGTCAAAACAGAAAAAGATCATTGGAAAGAGAGAAAGATTGAGTAGACATTGGAAGGGGGCGTTCTAATAGCGTTCATGTTAACGGCATGTGTGTGAGGTCAAATGAGAGAAGCGGCAGGAAGTGAAAGTTGGTATCTGCGAGCGGATTGGGTTTTATAAACGCCGGGGAGCAGGTTTCCGTTTGTGACGTTGAAATCATAGTTAGAAGGACTTCACTGGCCCCTCGTCCAACACCGAGAGCTGCCGGCGGCGTGGGGAGGCCGGCCGCGGGGGGGCCTGCAGGCGTGGTCGGCGGAAGCCCTCGCTGAGCGCTCGCCTGATGGCTGCGGGGCAGGTCTGGCTTCACCGCCGCTTTCCCGGCGCGTGGGCTGGGATGGGGGCGTCCACGAGCCACTGGACGAGCACTGGCTGCTGGATTTGCTCGTTTACACACTCACTCCTATGGCACCGAGTGCTGTGCACTCTCGCTCACAGACGGGAGGCTGAGGCACAGGGGAGTCGAGTCAGTTGCTCTGAGTCAGTGAGTCAAACGCCGAACTTGAACCTGGGCGTTTGCCGGGAGCCAGAGCTGTCGTGTGTCTCCGCTCAGCTCCCGCCAGCACGCATCTGGGGGGCTGGGCCTTTGCGTCCCTGGGACTATTCACCCCCTTGCTGACCTCACCCTCCCAGGAAACACCCCCACCTGAGGTCGGCATCCCCGACTGCCCTGCTGGGAACCACACGTGGAACCTAACTTTTCACTCTCTTTACCCTGCACACGCGGGGAAGCACCGCTTCTTCTCTGTGAGCAGTGCCTTGCCTTCCTCTCCAGGCTCCGCCCTGAAACATTAGTGACTGCGCACAACTGTAGGCGTCCCGCGGGGGGTGGGGTCCACACTCTCTCCTTTACCCAGGCCACCTGGGAGGGTCCCAGTCCCTCCTGTACCCAGGCCATCTGGGGGGCGTCCCAGTCATTCCTACACCTCTCTGCACCCTTCCCCGCACTCCCCACCTCTCTGCCTCTCTGCACCCTTCCCCGCACTCTGCACCCCCCTGCACTCTGCACCCCCCTGCCTCTCTGCACCCTTCCCCGCACTCCCTGGAATGGCTTCAGGTAGAGGCAGCTGGTTTTCACTCTAGACAGTGCCCTCGACAAGGAGCTGTGCTTACTCTGTCTTGTAATTGCACATCTATCTCTATATATAAAAAGCCTGTGTCCGTGACGATCAGGACGACCAAACGACCGGTCACCATGAGGTGCTAGCATAAAAACCGACCAGTCAGAACCTAATCTGGGTGAACTGTGAAGGCAGTTTCTTCACTGAGCTTGTACTGTAAGAAGGTTAGGTCAGGGGTGAGAATTAAAAATTGCCACCAGCACAGACCTGAGGTGCCGCTTCTCAGAGCAGCCAGAGATACACCCGGTAGCAGACCAGGGGCGTGATTGAAGGGCTGGCGCCAATGTGAAGGCGGGGCCGTTCTGGATTTCCCAGAGGAGCCAATGGCTGCCTAGGAAGTGGAGCTTTTGACACTGACTGCCATAGAAACAGACCAATCAGAACTTAATCTGGGTGAACTGCGAAGGTAGAACCTAAGGTGGGGGCTGAGGAGGGGTTTTAAGGGCAACAGCTGTTTGGTGTAAGCTTAAGAAAGCAGTTCAATTTTTTAATAACCAATTTGGCAGTATAGTGCATATGGCTGGCTATCAGTCCAGATATAGGGGTTATGTATTTTTGTCTGCCAAGAGCATCTCCTCCTGCTGCAAAAGGCTCCCCCCCACCCATTTAAGCAATCCTATCCTATATAATCTATCTATACTAATAAAAGGGTAATGTGCTAATTAGACTGGGTTGACTGGCCATCTTCCGGATGTCCGACTTCCTTCCTGACAAAGCCATGGTGGTGGGGGTCAATCGGCTGGCAGGGGAGAGCAGTTAGGGGCGAGATCAGGCTGGCAGGGGGTTAGGGGCGATCAGGCTGGCAGGGGAGGGCAGTTGGGGGCATTAGGCAGGCAGGCAGGTGAGTGTTTAGGAGCCAGTGGTCCTGGATTGTGAAAGGGATGTCCCCGGGATTGGGCCTAAACCGGCAGTCAGACATCCCCCCAAGGGGTCCCAGATTGGGCTGAGGGACCCCTCTCCCCCATGCACGGATTTTGTGCACTGGGCCTCTAGTCCTATATAATAAAGAGGCAATAAGCAAATTAACCC